TTTGCAACTTTCTCACTATTATTGTTTGAATGTGACATTTTCACTTCCCATTCATAGATCTATTGCATGCATTATGCATGATGGATCTTCTATAGTCATTCATGGATAATTCATATTGTCTTCTACCACTTATATTCCTTTGTGCCTAATCTGGACCTCACTTAGATCTCGTAGTACCTTTCTCTTTCATAATTTGTGCAAGCAAATGTAGTAGGGATTACTGCATCTCTCTACATGGTTGCCATGAAGACTATAATCAACTTAAGTTTTTCTTATTCAAATGTGTTCATTTGTCATTCATAGGGTACTGCCACCTTTGCTGTACATATTTTGTATTCATTTGTGAACATTGTGTTGTATATATGATGAGCTTTTGCAGTAGTTCGTAGTAACTTGCATCGATAGCCTATTCTCCACCTTCACTTGTAGGAGAGTAAAGTGCTTGTTTGGATGATAGATACATACATCAAAATCCATTACTGTCGTCTTCATATGGTTTGCAACTTTTGTTTATCTTCACTTATGATCAAACTGTACGTGCTCATATTGAGCATTGCCTGAGGATGAGTTAAATCCAATGCTACGAGTCCTTTATCATGTCCCAAAGAGCTCTTGCCATAGCTTTGTGATCAAACATATCCTTCGCAATCTTCCTATTTCTTGTAAACAAGTTATACTTCTAAGTTATTTGCCCTTATATATGATTGGTAATGAACTTGATATTCCCATCCATTAACATCTTCATCTCTATTGAAATTACGCTTACAAGTTAATTGTCATTGTTAAAAAAAGTCATGGCCAAATTTGGAATGAATGTATGCATAGATCCTTGCTCATTTTCATGAGATTTGAATGAATGATATTCTTTAGTTAGCATTTGCATCCAAATTGGAATAACAACTCTAATATATTCCGTTGATGTCATTGAGTAAATGATATTTTAGAAATCTTTTACTCCACAAATGGTCATTTGGATAATCAAGCTCATTTATCATTTGTATGTCTTGAGAATTCATTCAACATTCTTTATGAATTCCCACTTGTACATTTGAAAATATCTTGTTATTTGGAATCAATCTTGGCTTATTGCATCTTGGTCTAAGTCCTTTGCATTTGCCCAAGTTTTGGTCAAGTTATTTGAGTTTAATTCGGGTCCCCTATAGCACTTTCAAGTTTAAGCTCCTTGGCATTCGAGTCTTGTTTAGGTCCCCTGTGGTCCAACTCAAGTTTTCTTTCTTGAGTTCAAATATTCAAGTTCCTTTTCAAAGTATTCAATTCAAAATTCAACGTGCAAGTCCAAATTTTGCTATTTCAATTATGTTTAAATTCTCTATTGTTCAAAAGTCGACAAGTTTGGTGTGCAAATTCAAGTTCCAATTCAGATCGTTGCTTGAGTTCAAGTAGTATGCTCAAGTTATGTGTCCCCTATAGTCCTTGTAAGTTCAAGCTTGTATTCAATTTTATTTAGGTTAAAAAATTTTATACTTCATTTTGTGTCCAAATACAAGTCCGAGTCCAAGTCTTTGTATTTTCAGTCCAAATATCGGTAGCCTCCCGGCGTCTCCCCCGTTTAAGGAAATAGCCAAGAGTCTTCCTTTCCTTCCACGCTACATGAGCGCTTTAGGTAGGTGTCGGGTGATACCTTGACGACATTTTCTTTAATCCCCCAAGACGCTACATGAGCGCTTAGGGGTCTTGAGCACATGTTAGAAAGAAGCACAGGGATTTTCCCACATGTGGGTACTTAATTTTGTCCCCCTCATGCTTCATGAGTGGTCCCACCTCGTTGCAAGCGTTGCACCGGTTTCCCTACTTACTACTCTACGTGAGTGCGTAGGGGGTTTGCTGGCTCGTCGCGAGCGTCGAAAGCGCGGTTTAAATTAGAAACTTACACCTTCGTGTAGGTGGATCGGCAGCGGGAGCTCATGGCATGTAAATCGAGGCACAAGGGAGAAGCTCTTTTTTTTTTCTTTTAATAATAATAATAATAATAATAATAATAATAATAATAAATATAATAATACTATTATTATTATTATATTGCTAGTGATTATATTAATAGTAATATCAATATTAATATTAAAAATGATTATAAAAAATAATCATTAATATTAATTTTAATACTAATACTAAAATGAATATCTAAAATAATGACAACCAATTATTACTACTATTAATAATAACCACAGCAATTACCAACTAATAAATATAATTAACTAATAGTAATTAGTAACTAGTAAGGCAAAATAAAACAAAAATGAATATACCTAGGTCGGTTAGCTTGGATCAAAGCAGGGAATATTGGGCTAGGGAGGTCGGAGCAGTGGAGTTGGGTCGGGGCTTTGGCTCTGTTCGGGTATAGAAGGTAGGGGAACGACTTCAGGAGGTTGGGGCTTGGCCAGGCATCGGGATGGTTGCGAATGGCAAAGGGGTGGCTTGCTGGTGTAGGCTAGAGGAAGATAGGGCACGGGTTAGAGGAATCAGGTATGGTGCAGCTAGGGTGGAATTGGACAGGAGCTGCTCGGCCTGCTGTAGAAGTCGGATGAGGAGTTCTATCCGATAAGGTAGGTCGGGAGCAAAGAGGTCGTCGGATGGCTTGAAGGAACTGAGACAGAGCAACGGTGGCTTCGGCGTCGGGTTCGCTAAGGTACGAGGAAGATGGGTAGGATCGAAGTGAAGAAATGGTTTGGCTTTGTCCTGGGAACTTTTATACGTCCGGTGTAAGGACGTAGAGGAACGTCCGGTTGGAGGCAAAATTCCGCCAAAAAACTCGGTATTTGCTTGGTATAACTAGGTATTATTTGATATTAACGAGGAATACCGCTCTTTGAAGACCAATACCGAGTTATACCGAGCTGTACCGAGAAATACCGAGTTGTACCGAGTTTTTCTAGGAAAAACTCGGTACAACTTTTGTATAACTCGGTATTTCTCGGTATAACTCGGTATTGGATCTTCAAATGATGGTATTCCTCGTTATTGTTTGGTATTGCTCGGTATTTGCTCGGTACAACTCATTTTTTGGCGGGATTTGACCTCCGACCGGACGTTCCTCTGCGTCTGGTCAGAGGACGTAATAATTGTTCTTGTCCTGGAGGAAGAAGGTTAGTCAGGTTTCAGGCGACAGAGAAGAGGTTGTTGGAGGGATCGAGAAGTGGAAATGGAAGCTTGGGATTCGGCTGGAGCTCGGGAGTGGAAGAAGAAGAAGGGCTGCGACTCGAGTCCATTTTAATGATGCAGAGAGGCTATTCGCAGAATATGAGTATTATTTCCGGGATAGAGACTCGAACGGCATCACATGCATCGGTATTTCAGTGGATTTTCTGGGATTCATGGCAGAGGTATGTATCTTTTAAGCTTCTCTTTTTTTTTTTGTTTCTTTTGGATTTGCTGGCAGAGGTCAACATTCACCCACCTCCTACATAGGCTGATTTAATTTGATTTTCGTTATCAGGCTCAGCCAATTTTTTTGTTTGGATAATTCACAATTTGAATTTAATTTATTTGACTTGGTTTTAAGTATGATTGGATTTTGAATTAAAATGTTTTGTCTTATCCTTTCCGCCTTATTTTTGTTTATAGGGATTCATGATGAACATTTGAATTGGTATTGATTGTTGAATGAATGAACTAGTGCTCCTTACAATCCAATTGTGCATGTGAATTGTTCCAGTTGTGTGCACGGAGTTTTTTTCTCTCCCCATCCGCACCAGCTCCATCAAATTTTTGTATTAGATCATCTATCATATTATTCATAAATTTAGTTTCTGATTCTCAATTTACATCGAACCCAATCTTGTTGATTCCCTTACCCATGCATCATGTTGAATCTAATTGTCTTTGCTCTCACCTCTTGGTTTTCCTCATGTATCATTTAGCTTATTTTGCCACCAGTGCCATATCCATATGTTGCCCAAACCCGCAGTTCTTATTTCTCCTATGAATGATAGCCTCTAAGGCAATTCCACTATGCCTGATTGCTTCCTATTGCGGCTGCTTATAGTGCACCACTCACCAATTATGCTCACTGCTCGAAAGTGTCTTAAGCTTGTGACAATTTCCTTTTGTTCGCTTCAACTTCTAGTGCCCATCAACCATTGCATCTTCATATTATGATGACCAATACTATTTGCACGTCATAAACATTTGTGCATGTTAATCTTATCTTGAAACTTTTTTACTCATGATTCACCTGCTTTAATTTTGGCACTAGTCTGAATTTCATCCATGTATTCTCATCTCACAGAAATGCAAACTTGTGAAATTAATTTTTGTTAGTACATACAAATCATATGAACGTGATGTATAACATTGACTGCTGTTTTGAGAATGCTTCTTAAATATGCTTCTCCGGTAGAAAACTTCATTTTCTGAACCAATGTTTCTTAAAACTGCATTTTACAAAAGTACCCAAAAACCAAACGAAGCCTGAGTCTCACAAGAATGTGGTGGGGACCACCCCATGCATCAGTATGAGCCAACCACAGAACTTTGGTTCTGAATTCTTTCAGTTTTTTGAGAAGCTGACTCATCTTTGTTTTCCCATAACACTATTTTTTATAAAAGTTGGATCCAACATATTTTAGATATGGGAATTTAGTTTGGGCATAATCTTTAATGCCAAGAGTATGAAGCTTTCTTGTCATGATATTTGAGGTTTGCTCATGTTCTTGTCATTGATGTTACATGAATGTGGCGCAGGAGCTATTTGACTGCTTTAGTGATCAATTGGCTTTGCCGCTTAATATATAGTTAAGTAGGGAAGAAAGACTGATTAGCCTCACTTCTAATACTTTTGGAAATAAAATTAAGCATTACCTGAGTTGTCTAAAACTTGACTTTTTCTTATAGCTATTTTTAATAGCAGGAATTTACTCGTTTTTAGTTTTCAAGTAGTAGTTATTTTTTTTTCCTGTTATCATGATAAATGTCTTTCTATTCGCTTCATCCATCATTATATACATAGATGAAATAAGGCTAAATAATTTCCCTATTGTTAGCATGTAGAAGATCTGCGTGATTTGAAGTTTGACCCATCGACCGTTAACAGCTCAAATAAGAAGATCTCCAAGCTACGAGATACCTTTTTGTTTTGCTTAAAGGAGTTGGGTCTGTGGCTAACTATAAAAGTAACATGCACTTTTATGTTTATTGTAGTTTTATTTAATTATTAGGTGAATTGTATTTATATTAAATGTCATGCTCATTTTTTGTAGGCCTGTGAATCATTATCAAATGAAGACCATGCTACTATTTTTTGGGGTCAAAGCAATGATAAGATTGGTGAAAAAATTATAAGAAAATTCAGTCATGATTCGTTTACTTTGTTGTCCAAAAATGTTCCTGCTGGTATACTTTTTTTGTTCTTGTTATTTTTTTATGTTATATCAACTCCGCTTTGCTATTTCGTAAGTTTGCGATAAACAATGTAGAATTTGAATAATTATGTGATTTGGTGGGGCTAGAGAGTGTTATATATTTCATTTGCTTTATTTAAATATACATTTTTTTCTGTTTACATGTTTGGTTCCATTATATTCTCTTATTGTTGGCTTGTCAGGATGGTGCATTGGAGATGATTTAAAAGCAGATGTAGAGGCAGGATATTTAACAGCAAAAGTTTCTTGTCTTGTTCGATCTCTCTTGGAGTATAGGTAATTGCCTTTCAAATTTACTAATTTCAGTTTATTTCTTCTGTCAAGTATTTGCAATAGAGAAACCTTTAGGTTTCTGGTGAGCCAAAAATTTATACAACCCAGCTTCAGGCGGTCATATATAAATGAAATAGGAGATGATGGTTGGTTAGAAAACTGGGAAAACATCACTCTCTCTTCTTATCAAAAGTTTATTTTATAAAAGTTTCCCAAAAACTCATGTCGCAGTACAAATTCTGAGTTATCAACTGTCTAGCTTGTTATAGAATTCTGTTTTTTATGCAATTGTGGAGGAAATCAATGGAAAAAGTTCTTGAAGGGAGAAGTTTCTTGCTTCAATACAATGATTTCGATTAAAGATTTAAAAATTGGGGTTCATAGTGAAAAATGCTTTTTAAAAATAGAGGTTTACCAACATCCAACATTAGATTACAAGCAATAACGGTGTGAACCTGGCGTATTGCTTATAAAACTATTTCATCTCTTATTTTTTGCTATTTATTAGAAAAAATTAGTCTGAGAGCTTGTAAGCAAATTAAAATTTAGAAATTTGTTAAATATTTACGAGTATTACTGTCAACATTCATGAGGAACAGTTCCTACAGTTTTGAAACGCCAACTGAGTATAGAGCGATGCTTAATAAAATGAATAAAACAATGCTATGAGCATGTTTGTCATATATATATTATAGCTCATAGATTGTACCAAGTTGTTGGGGTAAGAAATAAGCGTACAAGAGCATTGGCAAATGAGAATGGATAAATAAAATACATGAAAAACTAAAAAAAAATGATGAGATTTATATGTTTTGACAATATTGACCTATATTCACAATCACGCAAATGGATAAGTTTTCACTGAATCAGAGATAACTACAAATTATAAAGCATTTTCTCATTTAAACATTCTTTTTTAATTTTTCTAATTACTTCTCTCTCTCTGTTGACTATTAAAAAAAAAAGAGATACAAAAAATTTTAAAACAAACGGCATGTCGGGCAGTTAGTGTCGAAATGAAGCATTGCTTAGCATAGGAACTGCCAACAGACAATCCAAAGCGATAAAAGAAAGAAATTTGGAGAAATGGAAATTAAATTCGCTCGTTCGCTCTGACTCCGATTCGATCGTTGCTGTTCGACTTTGTTTGCTTTACAGGAAGACGTCTAGGCTTCGCCTTTCGTCTTCTCTGTTCGTCGTTGTTGTTCGGCTCCGGTGCTTTGTCAAAGGTGCAGAGATTGCACGGTCGCTCCTTATGCTCCTTGTGGTCGTCCGACTTCGTTCCTTCACCTGAAGTAGAGATTGCGCACGTCGCTTCCTCGTCTCCTCATAGTTGTCCGACTTCGCTCCTTTGTAGGAAGCGGAGGTTTCATGCGTAGCTTCTTCGGCTCCCGTCATTGTTCGACTTCGCCTCCCATGCCCTAACCCACATCTAACGCCGACCGATCCCCGCCGGTCGACTCCAACCGGCCGACCCGTCGACCGTCACCTTCTAGGCCGTGCGCAACCTGCTCCGTGCGTGACCTCCGATCCATGCCCGATCGGGCTCCCCCTCTCCTTTTATTTGATATATCATATATATTATATATTATAATATAATGTTATATATTATATTATAATGTATTATATAATATAAAACAAAATATATATTATACTATAATATTACATAAAAAAAAGAAAGAAATATTTCAAACAGGTGTCGAAGACCCCGGCTGTTGTACCTTTGGTCCGATTGGGATGGTTTGAAATTGAAGACCTGCGCCTTTGATTTTTAATCCGGGCAGATAGTTTTAAAATTTTGAAGACCCGCGCCATTGATCTTAGATCTGAGCGGATGGTTTTACAATTCGAAGACCCCACGCAGTCGATCTTAGATTCTGCTAGGATGGTTTAAATTTGAAGGCCCTACGCCGTTGACCTTAGGTCCGGGTTGGAAGAAATTTCGGCAAAGGCCGTTCTGATTTCTCCCTCGGTGGGGAGGTGACGCCGGGAGGCTACCGAAATTTTCTTGAAAAATTCTGGATTTAGCGAATTTTGAAAAAAAACATGGCTCTTTAAGAAAAATTTTAAAATCGGAGAACATTTAATTCACCTATTAAATTAATTGATGAAATTATAATATTGAGTTGTTCGTTAATTAACTTGATAATTAATTAAACATCTACTGTGGAGATAAATAGATTTGACCTTACATTGGAATTGTAATTATTCTGGCAAAATCAATTTATAGAAGATGTTTGACAATCTTCAGCCACAAAATTATCTAAAGAAGCTAAGTATAAATTATCTAAAGAATCTAAGTATATGGTCTTGCATAAGTGCAAGTTGTGCAATATGGATGAACAACGTCAATGGGATCTTCAATAAAAAAAAAATTGAATTGAAACATTGCATGAAAGGAAAAAATTCTTCCACATTTTGGCAACTTCTCTTCCTCTAAGTCTCCGAATTTTTCTTGTGGGTTGAATAAAAATGGTTTGAAAATAGATTTCTTGAGAATGATAAATACTTGCTTACTGCCTGAAGTTGAAAGAGTTGCTCTCTTTGCTTTCTAAGCTAAAGAGTTTTAAATTATCCACATTGATCATATATATATATATATATATAATGTTGGAAACACAAACTCACATTTTTATGATAAAATGACTTCGTAATTTCATCTTTATAAATATGTTATAAGAAATCAACATGTTCACTAACCCAATGTATGTACAAGCTTTTTTTCAAACAACAAAAGCTCTCACAATCTGTACAAATTTTCCAAACAACTCATAAACCTTCAAACTCTTTTACATACTCTTCAAGGCTCCCCTGTACAAGCTCCTACAGCTATATGTGGACCCTATCCTCTGCAATTGCAAGCTTTGGCTACTATAATTACTGGCTACGAACGCCTGCAAACAAACAAATGAAGATTCAATATATCACAAATAAATTGAATAAATGCTGATTAACGGGCAACTTCTAAGGAAGTCATAAGCCCTAACCCAAACAATCAAATTTAGAACCCTCAGGCATCCTTGTCTAAAAGGATTAGGTTGTAAGACCCACAACTCGTGCCACTTAGCTTAAAGTGCTAGGTCGTAAGACCCATCATTAGGCAACTTCTAATGAAGCACTAAGACCTAATCCAAATCCAATTCAAGCCAAATTTAAACTTTTGGGCATCATAGTCCATAGGACTTGGTTGTAAGACCCACAACTCGAGCCGCTTAGCTTACAGGGTTAAGTCGTAAGACGCACCATTAGACAACTTTCTAAGGGAAGTCATAAGATCTAATCCAAATCTAATCCAAACAATCAAATTCAAACCTTCGGGCATCCTAGCTTATAGGGTTAGGTTGTAAGACCCACCAAAGAGCCACTTCTAAGTGAAGTCGTAAGTCCCATGTGTTAGGAATACTTTTAAAACAAAGTATAACAATCCTAACGCTCCTATAAATAACCAAGCAACTTCTAAGGAAGCCATTGAATCTTCCAACCAACCTTTTAATTAAAATTTATGGGCATCCTAGTCTATAGGAGTAGGTTGTAAGACCCGCCATAGGGCAACTCCTAATTGGAGCCGTAAGCCCCAAACTAAACAAATCATATGGGCAACTCCTAATTGGAGTTGTAAGCCTCGAACTAAATAAAATAACGGGCAACTTCTAATTGGAGCGTAAGCCCCAAACTAAATAAATTAATCGACAACTTCTAAGAAAGTTATGTGCCAAACCCAAATTAAATCAAACTAAAATTCAAACTTATGGGCAACTTAGTCTAAAATGATTAAGTTGTAAGACCCACTTTTCAGGCTACTTCCTAAGAGAAGTCATAAGTCCTACCCTAATAATTAAGATCTCCGGGCAGCCTCACTGTAGAGTTAGGTTGTAAGATCCATCATTGGGCTACTCATAAATAGAGTAATTAGCCTCAACTTCAAATTCAAATCTCCGGGCTACTTTCTATGAAAGTCGTAAGTCCCAACCTAAACCTAAATTCCTGGGTTACTTCTAAATGAAGTCATAAATCCCAAACTAAATAAATCTCTGGGTATTCTAATAGATGTAAACCCCAAAATACCTAACAAAAATTAAAACCTACATTTAACAACTTCAGTCTACTCGGGATCCCTGAGAGGAGGCAACCCATGGCTGTTAATCAGATTTTCTGGACACTACGGTCAATGATTATTAGTGTTGGTAGACTGAAATCTACGGTATACCCGGGATACCCGGGATGACGGAACCATGGGATCTTGTTCGGGTTTACCTCCATCTTGCCACCATTGAGACTAAATTACCTAAAATTTATTCATCCTTAATCGAGAGTTCTTTCTTACGTGTTAAGAGGGGTAATTAATTATGAGTGCTTGCGCTCATAGGAAGTAAGGACCCAAGATCTTTAAACCTTGACATTACCCTCAGGGAAAATCTGGTTAATTACAATCTGACTTAAGGGAAATGAAATCTTATAGCTGCAAAGTGGGATTCATGTATTCGTGCTGTTTTTCTTGAGCCAACACTATCTTTTAATTTTTATATTTCTAGCAAGCTCAAACTCCAAGCAAAACCCAACCACCGAATCGGTCACAAAACAAAAATGAAATGAAAGAAATCCATGTAGATCATATATGACTTATCCTTATGCTGCGAGGGATGATAAAAATAATAATAAGAATAAAATTAAATTGCTAGTTGTATTATAAGGCCATTTGTTCATTTGCTGAATTGAAATGATAAATGATGAGCAAATAAGTTAATTAAAATATAAATAGATTTTAATTAAAATTTAAAGCTAATATCATATATTATATATACAATCATTTATTAAAAAATATTTCAGATTCCAACTAAAAAATAATAATATGCATAATATGGTGGTTAAGTATTATTTAAAACATTCATTTTAAAATTAAATTACGTCTTGTGTTATTATATTCAATTTAGTAGTAATGATCTTATGATGTGATATAAACTCATGCATAGCCTTGAGAGAGGTTACATGATGGTGTGAATGTG